GTGGGTGGACCCAAGCTATGAATGGTGCTATTGGGCGTAGCTTGCAAAGAATGGGAGGTGCTGTGTAGCCGATGTTCCAATGACTGGAAGAAACATGGTTATAGACAAAAAATGTTGGCCAAATAAATTAAATACCATATCAAAAAGCTGATTATATTGTCGCAGATTTATTCAAAACAACTATTAGACAGCTGTACAAACTATACATACTATATAGTTTGTAAATTGATAGCTTTTGTGTTGCACTAGCACTGGCATTGCAACTGTTCCCTTTAAGATCAGTTGCTTGTAATACTGCATGATATATTTGAATTGTTCTAACCTGTTGCTGGTACTGCATGAGTTGCTGCTGCTGGTACTGCTGCATCTGCTGCAGCTGCTGTAAGTGGCTCTGCTGCTGAAGTGCAAGCTGCTGCTGGGACAGATAGTGTGTGGAGCAATCATAGCCTTCTCCAGAAGCCCCACTAGCTATGTAGGAGCCAGCAGCAGGAGAGGCCATGCCTGATAGCTCATTGCTGATTGGCTCCCAGGCATCAGAGGATGAAAGGCAGTACAGACCCTGGGAGACATAGGTGTGAGGCCACACTTCTGCAGATGAATGATGCAAAGGCTGATCTAGAGTGCAAAGAAGTAAACAGAAAAGGTGATAAAGAGAAACGAGTTCTTTGGTCATTGCATTTGGATTAAATACAAATTAGGGGCTGATTCCGCTTATCAACAATAAATTATAAATTAAATTGTACTTTGTTTGGTTTATAACCTCAAAAAAACATTAGTTTAATTTAATATTAATTTCATGCAGTATTAATATTAATATATCATGCAGTAATTTCAATATGTTGTCTCTGAATATCTGTGTTAACTCTGTTTCAGTCTCAGAAAATTAATCATTTCTGCTCATCCACTCCTGCAATAGTTTTTTTTTTCTTTCTTTTTTTTTTCTTTCTTTTTTTGGTTTTTCCACATTTCCATGCACTAAATAAAATAAGACCTAAACCTGTCAATTTGCCAAGAAGCAGTATCAGTCAAAAACAAAGTAAACAGAATAAATTAGGACTGCAGATATATGAAACTTCTTGACTTCTTCTCAGCCCCACACAGACTACTACTGCATGCACTGAAATGCTGGACATATCCAGCTGACTGAATGAACTCAAATGGGCTCATTAAACTGCAAGTGAATAATCTTGGTCTTGACCAAAAAGACTGCATGTATGAGGCAAACCTGCATGCAACTGCAAATATTCATGAATGTTTAACCCTTTGCTCAGAGAGCAAAATATGGTAATTTCCTGTTTTCTTTCTTTTCTTTTTTTTCTTTTTTTTTTTTTACTAATTCAAGTCTTGCTGTCCCAAAAGCACTGCACACCAATACCTACTTATTTAAATGAAAGGACAAACATGTAACAAAATATATCATGGTTTAAAAATGTTTCATTTTGCTAAATAAACAAAATAACATATGATAGAACCGTTGTTTTTAACCAGTCAGCTGTATTTTATTGTTGTCTTCTTGGAACATGATTTTTTATGGTAAAAATGATGTCCCAAATATGACTTTTCAGTTATTGACAATTAGACTGATGAGACTATTAAATGTCTAACAATGAGACTGAGAAAGCTCAAATTTCATATGCGGATAAATAATTTATTTAAAGATGACATGCAGCTTTTGTTTGTTGCTATATTCTTTGTACAAAAGCTGTATATACTGTAGATGCTGTCGTCTACATCACTAGGGGTCCGGAACAAACAGGGTACGAAGCACTGACAGAAAAAACATTTATTTAAACATAACTTTAAAAAGTAATAACCTAAAGATTAGCTGATTAAAGCACTGACAAACTGAATGCAAGAAGAGCCAATCTTGGCCATGGCCAAAAACACTCACTGGGGAAGACAATAAATTTGCCATCAGTAAATTCACATAACTATTACATAAACACAAGCTTAGCTTCTTATACAAGCTCTAATTATTTCTAGGCTTGATTACTGCAAAACTTTCCTCACTGGTCTCACGTCGTATGTGATATGTACCTTATAGAGCATTCAGAATGCTTCTGCTCACATGGTTCATAACCTCCCAGGTGACTCCCACAACTTCCCTCATGTGACCCCCTAACCACCCGCCCCTCCATCCCCACCCCCCAAAGCTGAACTCAGGTCTTAGCTCCTAGCTCCTCAGTGGTGGAATGAGCTTCCTTCTACATTCAGAATGGCCACGTGTGGTTTCTACATTTGAGGGGGCTAAACTGGTTCTTTAAGACCCTCCTGAAAAATCAGGAGTTAAACGATAGTATGTACTATCTAGTGCTAGAGTGGCCTAGGCAGTAACAAAATGGCAATTTCAACCTAAGTACATAAATAATATAAAATAATCTAAATTCACATTAAAGGACAATTTCAATTTGTCCGTTATGTGCATGAATAATAACACAATTAAATTTAACCTTTCCAGGGCCTTCAGAATTACCTCTTGGCTGCTTCTCTGGTTAAAAGCCCTCCTCCTTCAGTCACTGACTTTTTGTGGACGACCTCCTCCAGGCTGAGTCATAGTTGTGCAATGACTTTCTTTCCATTTTTTAATAATACAGGGTGTCCCCAACGTCTCCATACATAGGGGAAATCAACACTTTTTAGCAAAACGTATTCCAAAATTTTTTTTTTTTCAGAAACCCTTTAAGATTGCCTTTGACAAAAGAAGAACATACTGAAATCATTCTCATGGCTGGATCGGGAAGCTGTCGCAAGGTTGTTATGGACTTTAAAACATGTTTCCACATGGCGAGCACATCACACACGACACTGCTTCCAAACTTATTAACAAATTCAAAAAGACTGAAAGTGTTGCGGACCAACTGAGAATTGGACGTCCACGAACATCCACTGACGAAGGCACAACCGGCATGGTGCTGGCAAACACAGTCCCCATGTATGGAGACTTTTGGGACACCATGTAGATTTAATGGTCTAATGCTCTGCAGGATGTTTTTTGATGGGATTTTTTTTTTTTAATAACCAAACCCTGACTGAAACCTTTCCAGAATTTTGTCTTGGAATTGATTTGTTAGCTCCTTGGTCATCATCATGCTTACTCTCTGTATGTTCACTAACACACTCTGGGGCTTTCCAGGAAAGGGTATATTTGTAGTGAGATCATCTGACACTTTAATTGCACACAGGTCAACTCTGTTCAACTAATTATGCCACTTCTGATGGCAACTATATTGATCCCCTCCCACTTCAATACTATGGGCTATTTTTATAGATTCATGACATATACCAAATTAAGTTCATTTCAGTTCCAGCTTGTGACTGTCATCAGGACCACCTGATCTGATGTAGACACTGCCCAATGGGCAATATTTATAGCTGTGAAGTGTTCCGCCAGTCCTTGCACTTCATGGATATGCTCCATGGCACCATTCAGTGGTGGGGACACTTATTTAGGGCCTGTCCCACAAGATGGACAGGGGCGTTCAGGGGTGCTGGAATATGAATAGTCCATTTGGCTGTTCTGGTTTCGTGATTCTGAAACCTCTCCATGGCTTCTTTGGCAGTAGAGCCAAAGTGCAACCTTGGCACAGAGGGTCGATTTGCACATGTCTGGCAGAGAGGATCGTACTAACCTGGCCCCATATCCTGGCCTCCTACCACTGCTAGGAGCAAGGTGTTAATCAGCGTTCCCAAAGAGGGATCAACTTCTGTAGACTGGAACAATCTTTTCCACATGCAAGGCATTAAGCTCTCACTAGTGCATCTACATTCAGTGCTTAAGCAGCATGCACCTGGACATAATGCTTCATCTAGGGAGACCCAAGCTGCTTGTGATCCCTCATATTAGCTCAGGCACTGTTGCCTTTGTCTGTCCAAAGCCTCCTATAAAGGTAGCAAGGTAGCTGAGGTAGTGTGTATTCCATCAACCTGGATTTCTGGGTGTTGCTGAGGTTGGAGTTGAACATGTCGGTTCAACTTCTAGGTCATTATCAGCCTGGAAGAATCACCCTGATGCAGCTATAGACATAACATCTTCACTCTTCTCCTATGACAAGCAGTGAGGATGACTAGTCATTGGACTGAGATCTATTTTGTGCTGTCTCATCTCCTAAATCATCGATCAGCCATGTTGTTAATTTGCCTACAAAATAACTCACAACTCATTGCTTCCTGGGCTTTTTGCAATGTTTATTAGTTGTTGCCAGGTATGGGCGTTTGAGACTAGTGAGCTGTTTTGGCTGTGGTATCACAGTATACTGAATCACAGTATAAATTAGCTGTCAGCACAGGGGATGTTCGAGCCAGACAATACTCAATTATCATGGTCAATTCTAAGGCATAACTGGTGCCTGTCTCCAGCTTTTGGGGGATTCAGACACTGGATGCTTCAGTTAACCACTCAGTGTCCAAAGTCTGGAGGGAAAACTGACTCCAGCTACAGAAATGCAGCTAAATAGCAGGTTCAGTAGTGAACAATGCATGGTATAGTGGGGGAAAAACAGTCAACTAATGCTAGCAGCAAGGAACCATAACTCCATTGGCCAACCAGACAGTGGCAGATGTGCACTACTCTGAGCAAATGAGACTGAGGGAGAGCTCAACTTGTCAAGAGAAAGAGGGGTGAAGCAGAAGGAGACATGAGTTCTGCTTACTGAGCAATAGTACTGACCAAGTTCATAGAGATAACTAGCGAAGAGCACAGTGAGCGATAACTAATAAGGCTAGCAATGCTAACATGGGAAAGTCAACTCAAAACTAGCGGATGCCACAGAGTTCCATAGTGTTTCATTAGAAAAATGCTCGCAATATAATATAAAATACACTTACTGAGGCTGAAGCAATGAAAGGAGGCTATCCTCCATTTTGGAGGAAAGGTTACCCTGTAGCTGCAAAGAGGATGGTTCCATATGTTGTACGTGTGTACAAGGTGAGAAGAAGAATTTGAAACATGGCTGGATGACAGCAGTATTTATTACAAATACTGTATCCTATCATTATACAGGTCCCTGGAGGACTAGTGGTTAGGCCATGGCGCTCTCACCAATGTGGCCTGGGTTCATTTCCCAGCCAGGGAACCAACCCCAGCCATTGGGGTTGCACATGACTGCACTCCCAGTGCTGGTCCCAAGCCCGAATAAAATTGGGGAGGGTTGCATCAGGAAGGGCATCCGGCATGAAAAAGCTGTGCCAAATCAGATACGCGGACCAGTGATCCGCTGTGGTGACCCCTAACAGGGGCAGCTGATAGAAGAACAACAACTGTGTCCTACATTATTTTCTACTTTTGTTGGTAGATCTCACCATGCGTCTGTATGCGTACAAAAAGTTATTAGAAGTTAAATGTAACTACTCTTAACATAACTACACTTTTCCTAACAAATATTCAAGAAAACACTGAATAAAACATGTTAAACAGGTGTCATTTATCACCTTCTGACCTGAGGCAGAATATGACAGCAATAAAAGGACCTTTTCTGTCAAATAATTTATTCTTCATTTAATATGATCTGAGAGTTGAGTGAGGTTGAGTTTCACCTCAGATTTCAGTCATGACTGCCAACATATGATATCTAACATACAGTATGTTGTAAGAATCGGGTTATAGATTCTCACGGTTTCCTCAGGAACAAAAGTGGATATAACTCAGCCGGACTCGAAGAGATAATGCTGTCCCTCATTTATTTCAGTAGGTTACTATATACTCACATAGGGTTGACAGATTATTCCGTTGTCAATGAATGAAAGATCAAATATTACACTTATAATATATAGCGGTGGTACGACACATCCGCACACACGGCAAGGTGCACGAGAGAGAGAGAGCACACATGACATCATCATAAGGCGATCATTACAATGTGCTTATCATCCTTACCTCTGCTGGTAATGCTCTCCTGATTAACTTCACTGAGGTGTGCTACACTGCCCTGGTTGGAGTCAGCACAGAAGCTCTCCCCATCCATAGAATTCCAGGCCAGCAATGTGGCCTCAGAGATTGCAAATTGCTGCATTACTCCTGTTAAAACAAAAGAAGCAAAAGTGGACTGTCATGGTCTGTTAAAGCTAATCTGAAAATTATACTCATGACAGAAATCAACAAATCACCCATTCCCCTGAAATTCCCATCTCAAATAAACTAACATTGTCAATTACAGGAAAACAATCAACAAGTCAATAAACCTGTATGTGAAGTTTTAGAATGTTCTCCTTTTCCTACTGAGCATGGCATGAATGTGCCACAATATACTATATTTATGTCATGATTTCATAATGTGTGTGTGATGTAGCCTACTATATTATGCTTTTAGTTCGCTATTTTGAATAATAAAAAGAAAACATGCACATGGTTTAAAAGATAAGCTGACCAAGCACTCATCAGCTACACTTATAGCTCACTTTAAATGAGTATTGTTCATCATTTTATCCATATTAACATTCAGGCCATGAGATTAGCAATACCTCTGATTAAGATGATATCTATGCAATCTCAAAAAAAAAAAGAAAAAAAAAGGACAAAACTTTTCATGAACTTTACAGGGATAATATGATTCATTAATTTGTGTTATATTTATGTATTTAATATTGCCTTTGAATGACATTCCATAGTTTTTAGAGTGTACAATTCCCAAAAACATTAATTTCAGGGTGACATTTTACAGTTACCTGAAACTGTCAGACAGTCTACCCCGAGTGTGCAATTCACTGTCCAAATAGTGTGTAAGTCTGTATTCATGTCTGAGATCTGAATACCGATGTGCTATTAACTCCTGATTAAGTTCACAACTCGGAGTACAGCTCTTAGTTTTTACCAATTAGGCACTTGTACAAACAAGCACTAATCTCTAGTCTATTAAATCTTGCAGATTTTCTAGTTGCTTTGTATCAGTGCATGTTTAACCACATGTTTTATAAATCACTCTGAATTATAGCGTTTGCTAAATTACTAAATGGAAATGTGGATGTATCCAACAATATTTAGTATGAGTGGAAAGTTGCAATACGTCACTACACAAGCTGTATTTCTAGCCTTATAAGTAAAAAATTCACAATATTCAATAAAATCACATATTTCAGAAAATAAATATATCTTTTCCCATCAGTATTTCTTCTTTATTTGATGTGACCATAATGTGTAAAATGATTCGAAGAATGTTATGAAAATCTTTTGATTAATCAGTTTTACCTGCAGCCATTCGTGCTTCCTTCTCTCCGTCACTTAGGTCACTGTAGGCGTCATTCTCAAGTCTTCGTTCCCTCTCGCGGTGCAGGTTGGAAAGACCTGCTCCCCCTAATGGCCCAGCAGATGGTTTGCCCCAACTCTGCCACTCAATCATGTGGGCTACACGGCCTTGAGCCATAGCTGTGGGTTTAGTTACCTTGTCCTTCATGGACCTGGTCACACCTACATAAAGACACAGACATTAAGCATTAAACATCAAGTCGTAGCTATACCTGAATATTTTACTAGACACTGTTTTGTAATATAGTTATAATTCTTCAGTCATGTTGAATATTGCATGTGACTGCATGACTGAGCTCACATTGTCTACCATCAATATGTTAAATCCTGCCTACTGAGAAAAAAAAAACTACTAGCAGGATGTGCTGTAGTACATGAAATTTGGACACAGCTGTGGTTCTGCATGCTTCTGAATGGAGGGTAATGAGAGTATCAAGGCAATGCATTATGAATAATGATTGTTTTGCTTTTTTTTTTTTTTTACCATAATTGAGTCACAAATGGATATATTATGACCTACATCTTTTCTATTTTATCTCCTATAGAATGCTAGCAACAGCATTATTGATTCTGACAGGGAAAAGGTGAAACTAGCAGCTATTAGGCTTTTGACACAGTTTTTTGATTTGATCCATTTCCTTACAAGCAGGAAGGAAAAATTGATTTCAGACACATTATTCCTCAGAATTTATTACTCAGTTTAATAAACCAAGATTCATAGTATAACTATAATAATAGTTACAGTGTGGCAAGAAATATCTAAAGATTTCTTTACATTAAAAAAAAAATCACTAAAAAAGTAAAGAAAGAATGCATTACTCAATATAGGGGAATACTTCAAAAGAAAAAGTCAACACAGATTTTATGCAGCCACCTTAGTGCACCTGATGATTTTATTCTTCTTATAAACTACCTGATAATAACAAAACACATACTTGTTGGACAGTCTTTCTTTCCCTGTAATCATTAATTCAACTTCAATAACCACTTTATTGTGGTTGTGATGTACCCAGAGCCTGTCCAGATGGGAACTCGGAGAAAACCTACATGGGAGAACAAGAGAAATTCTGCACAGAGAGTAACCCTGAGCTCATGAGCCAAGATGACCCAAGATGACCCTCAAGGGGACCCTGGAGCAGTGAGGTGGCAATGCAACATGTTGCAACACCTTTCCACCCCTTTCTCTGGATAAACCTAGGAAACTCTGTGTGTGTGTGTGTGTGTGTGTGTGAGAGAGAGAGAGAGAGAGAGAGAGAGAGAGAGAGAGAGAGAGAGAGAGAAAGAGAGGGAGATGGCCTGGGAAAACCCATTGGATGATGCTGAGGCTGAATTTTTGTAAACAGCCAAAAATTACCAAAAAAAAAAAAAATGTTTTATCTAAATTAAATTTTTCTGCCAATAATATATGTGCAGCTGCCCATAAAAACCAGATGTCACTCTGACTGAATTCTGGAAAACATCTAAAATTGACTAAACTTCTGTTTTTCTGTCAGTAATGTACTAGGACACCTAGTACATTACTATATACAGTACATTAGAAGAAAACAAATACTGTATATTTCATTGAAGATCATGCTGAATAAGGAGCCAGTTTAAGAAACACAGCAGTAAATGCAGTCATTCTGTCTAAACATGTCTAAAGCCTTGATAGCTATGTGTGCTTGTCTCACAATTTGATCAAGGTTCATGCCAGGGCGAAACACACATAAGCCTAATCAATTCAGTTTGGGATCAGATGACAAACACCAGCTGACAAATTGTTCGTAATGCACCTGCGATGTCACAGCATCAAAACAAAGTGCTTACACACTCTGTACTGATGACAGAATGAACTAATGAAAAGACATTAATAGCCAGAAATAGTCAACAGAACAAACTGAATTAATTAACAATTATTTCCCTGTCCATGATCAGTCGAGTCAAGAGACAACATGTTCAAATGCTGTGACCAGACATAGACCGGTTTAACTATTGGGGTTACAACTTTCTTATGGTTATGATACATGCAAAAGAGAAGCATACGTCAGTTCAGGAAAACCTGTTAGAACCTATTGCTTCATGTTAAATATCACCATGTGAAGGATTTTCCCAGGCTGCCACACCCACACACACACACAAATATATATGATGATCCGATGATATCTATATATAGTATATACAGTATATCCCAATGGGAGTGGCCTCTTCCAGCATGACATTGACCCATCTATAGGGCACGAAGGAGGAAGAAGAGTATGCAGTCAACCAGATATCAACCCATTTGAACAGCTACAGTACATATGGTAGTTTTGGACCAATGTGTTAGATAGCACTCTCTACCACCATCATCAAAACATCAACTGGGTGACTTTTTGGAGGTGTCGTACAGTTTTATAAGGATATTATAAGTTTTTCAAAGCATCTTTGAGAATCTGCCACAGTTTTTCTAGAGACTTTGGATGTCAAACTTTGCTTCTTACTTTCTTTACAAACATTTCTCTGTAACATTTTTTTCCCACTCAAGCCACTCAACTGTGATGCTGATCCTTATTGGGGTGAGATCCACTCAAGTGCTGATACTGATCTTATTTTATTATAAAAATCACTCGAGGGCTGATTCACCATCACTGAAGTAGTGATAATGCTCTCTACTGAAGATGAGAATCACTCAGTCTCTCAATTCTGTATTTTATTGAGGATTAAATGCACTAAATCCATTGATACTATACCCTATGGTTTGTACAGAATGATCTCCTTTAGGGGTTCCTGGCTACACAGCTTTCATTTCTAAGATGTTAGTATGCTAATTCTAAGTCCTGTTCGACCACCTAGGGCCCTGTTGTGGCCAGAAGGGGG